ATGAACTTTTTCTGCTTCCTGGGGTTTATGGGATTTTGAGATTTTGAGATTTTGGGTCTTGCTTTGCTTCTTGGGTTTTTGAGATTGGGATCCGTGGCCTAGTTTTAGATGGCTGAGATTCTGAGAAAAATTTTTCCCGTGGGGTTAGGGCAATCTGTTCCCAAAGATGATAATTCAGATGATGAAATTAAAATTGACTACTCGTTTGCTATAGAGTACCAGGGTCCTCCGGTCCCTTACCAGATTCCCCAAGCATTTCCGGTGGACGTTGACCGGCTTCCAACTGCTGCCACAGTTTCCTCTGCTTCTGCGTTGAATGATGTTTCCTTGCCGGTCATCCAACCAATTGTGAAGGCTGGTCCAGATGACAGAAAACTAGCCAAAGGGCAAAATAGTTTCTGTGGAGCTATCTCTTGTCAAGAGTCCTGTGATGATCATGGTGTATCCGTTGAGTCGTCGATTCAGGGTGACGACGACGAATGCGCAGAAAAATTATGCCAGGGAAGGGAAAATTCTGGCAAATTGGATAATTCTGATGATCAAGATAATTTGCAAGAATCATCAAGAAGGTTGGAAGCGTTAGAGCTACCCACTGATTCCAGAGAAGGTTTAGAGTTGATTGAGGACGGGGATCCTGCCCTTGCCAATTCAGATTCAACAGAATCAGGTTTAAGTACACCTGCACTTTCATCATCAGAGGTCTCTTCTTGCAGGGGGGAGGAGGGTAAAGATGAGACTCCTTCCCATGTTAGAAAACCATCAGTGGTAACTTTCTGTGAGCCTGAGTTAACTGACATAGTTCAGGAAGAGTATGAATATTCTGAGGCTGAAAGCAGCCAAGCTCAAGAGCTACCAAGAAATGGGAAGAAAGGGTCATGCTACAGGTGCTTGAAGGGAAATCGGTTTACCATCAAGGAGATTTGCATGGTTTGCAATGCAAAGTACTGTCGTTATTGTGTGCTGCGAGCAATGGGGTCAATGCCAGAGGGAAGAAAGTGTGTTAGTTGCATTGGTAGAAGGATAAATGAGTCTAATCGAGAGACTTTGGGGAAATGTTCACGGATGCTCAAGCAGCTGCTTCCTGCCTCAGAGGTTAAACATATTATGTGGTGTGAGTCATCATGTAAAGAGAATCAGCTACCACCAGACCTTGTTTATGTGAATGATGAGCCTCTGAGTCAACAGGAGTTGCTTCTGTTGCAGACCTGTCTGAACCCACCAAAGAAGCTAAAACCAGGACACTATTGGTATGATAAAGTTTCTGGTTTTTGGGGAAAGGTAATTATCAGTCTCTGTGCATCGCTTTCTGTTTTTATTTCCTTTCCATTTTTTAGAAATTCAAGAGCAATTTCATTTCATTTTTTTGCACCATAAGTGAATGCTTGTTCTGACTTTGTTGAACAGCAAGGACAGGGGCCTTGCCAGATTATTAGCCACCAGCTAAATGTTGGGGGTCATATCAAGTCAGATGCAAGCAATGGAAACACAAAAATATTTATAAATAATAGGGAGATTACTAAAAAGGAGCTTTGGATGCTGCAGGTTATTTTGCTGCTTATGATAAGACTCTTTTTAGGCATCACTTCAAAAATTTATAAGTTAAATCCATTCTATTTAATGTTTGCAGTGTGCAGGAGTTCAATGTGAAGGAATGCCTCACTTTTGGGTAAGTGCAGACGGATCCTACCAGGAAGAGGGTCAGAGGAATGTAGTAGGGCGTATATGGGGCAAGGTATATTGCATGTAGATGTGCATATGCATCAGATTTTAAACCTTTCTTCTCTTAAGTAACATATTACTAACAATTTGTATGTACTTCTTGACAGACTGGAATCAAGCTAGTTTGTGCTTTCTTATCTTTGCCAGTTCCTCATGATCATCATGTAAATGCTTCTGTTGAAGAAATCAGCCGGAGCAACCAGGGGTTGAAAGTGCCTTATAAACTTCTTCTACTAGGCTATGAAAAATCTGGCACTAGTACTATATATAAGCAGGTCTGACTACAATTTAGAGAACTTGCTTGGTCTTATACTGACCCAATTATTCATAATTCATTTACCGTTTATCTGATAGTGGTCAATCTCTAGTATTTTAGGTTCTTCTTATTGAGAGCATCTGTGACACCATTATCTATCTTTGAATATTGACTTATTTACTTGATTATATCAGACCAAGATTCTGTATCATGTTCCATTTACGGAAAATGAGCATCAAAATATTAAGTTGATGATCCAAAGCAATTTGTATCGCTATCTTGGTATACTGCTGGAGGGGCGGGAACAGTTTGAAGAACAAAGTTTGCTTGAGGTTGAGGGGAGGAAAATACAGATGACTGATGAAGCTGGTCCTTCAGGTACAATAACATTGATATATTCCTTTCTTGTGTTTTCTTGTTGTAACCTTTTTTTTTTCCCTTTGTTCTGAAATATTGTATCAAGATAGAAATTATGGTTTCTGATGCTTTAACTTCACTGTATAACCCCCCCCCCCCTTTTTTTTTGGGGGTACAAGTATATAAGCCTTGTTTGCAGAGTATAAACTCTCCTAATGAATTTCACACTAAATCCTGTCAATTCTTGTAAACTACAAATATGGGAGGATGATCATATAAGAGCATCACTTTTCTTGTCCTTATTGTTTATACCTTACATTGTGTTTACATGCCCTTTCATCATTCATGGCAGGGAAAATTAACCTTTGGCCAAAAGTGGGGAACAATAATCAAAAGTGGGAATGGAATAAATTGTTTCTTTTTAATTTGATTTTGTGAATTATTCTGAAAGTGTAAGGTAGAGAGAACAATTACCTATGAATGCCTTTCCTATGACAGTAACCTGTCGAAACTGTCTGGCTGGTCGCTTCTCCTAACACCTTTTTAATAGAGTCAATTTTTTAATAGCCTATGATCCATTGGGTCCCTGTTCTTCATGGCTGCATATAATGCTTCTTTTGGATCATACCTCCTTGAATTTTCCATTTCAAACCATGGCACAATGGAGTCTCAGACGTTTGATCACAACAGGTATTAAAAGCCCGATTGATGGTAATACAGTATATTCCATTGCCCCCAGACTGAAGTCATTCTCAGATTGGTTTCTCCAAGTGATGGTGTCTGGCAATTTGGAGACTATTTTCCCAGCTGCTACTCGTGAATATGCACCATTTGTTGAGGAGTTGTGGAAAGATGCAGCCTTTCAAGCCACTTATAGCCGGAGGCATGAATTGGAAATGCTACCAAGAATTGCTACTTATTTCCTGGAAAGGGTACGCCAAACAAACTGTATATGATTCTTGTTTTCTGTTTAAGGTGGCTTGTGCACTATTCTATTTTATTTATTTGGATAGTTTGGAAATTCTTTCTTTCATGTGGTATACCATGCTAAATTATTTGGTAGAATTTGAGCAATACTGTGACCTATATGATTGTTATGAACAACTATGGTTAGTTTTTAATATCTAATATCATCTTCCTCTCAGGCTGTTGAGATATCAAGAGCAGACTATGAGCCATCAGACATGGATATCTTATATGCTGAGGGAATTACATCATCCAATGGGCTTTCTTTTGTGGAATTTTCATTTCCCAAGCTAGATCGGGAGAACTCTCTCGACTCTGACTATCAGCATGATCCTTCACAGAGGTTAGTTTTATCCATTGTCTTCATATTCATTTTTCTCTTTTTGCATGAAGATTTGGTACATAGTGCTTTATTTATCGTAACTAATTCAGCATTTTCTGATTTTCATTAATAGGTACCAACTCATTAGACTGCATCCAAGTAGTCTTGGAGAAAATTGCAAATTTGTTGAGATGTTTGAAGATGTGGACATGGTCCTATTTTGTGTCTCCTTGACCGACTATGATGAGTTTTTTGAAGACAGTCACGGAGTTAGAACCAACAAAATGCTTGCAAGCAAGCAACTGTTTGAAAGCATTGTCACACATCCCACTTTTGATTCCAAGAACTTTGTCCTGATGCTCAACAAATTTGATCTGCTTGAAGAAAAGATCGAACAGGTTTCTCTGACCAAATGTGAATGGTTCCATGACTTCCATCCAGTGATCGGCCATAATAACAAGGGGGGCACTTCACTAGCACAGCATGCCTTCCACTATATTGCACTGCAGTTCAAGAGACTATTCAAATCTCTTAGTGATCGAAAGCTGTATGTTTCTCAAGTTACTGGCTTGGAGCCTGACAGCGTGGATGAGGCCCTTCGTTACAGTAGAGACATTCTCAAGTGGGATGAAGATGAACGATACTTTAGCTTCACCAACCCTGAATTGTCTTCCACTGATATAGAGGCAAGCTCATCCTCTTGACCTTTTTTCTTCTATAAATATTGTTCAGACGGCCATGTACAAGCATACGCACATATACACATACATTAGATATTTATAACATGCAGGTATAGAAGCTAGACCGATATTGTTCTGGTATAGGTTCACAGAAGAAAGAGTTTTGTGATGAAAAATTGTAACGAGGGAACCCATTTTGCCAAGTTTTCATGAAGAAAGAGCAAATCATTTATAGAGCTCTAAGATAACAAATAATTACAGAAGAAACTTATTCTTTACATTATTACATGTAAACAACTCCTTAATCTTGATCACCAAGGCACAAACCTGTCCATGAGCAAACAAACGGTGGTCTCTGACATTGTACCATCTTTGGTTTCGTTGGATGAACAAACTTCTCTGCTCACTTGTGTAGCTTCCTTCTCTTCACCCTGCCCTTGTTTGGCTCTTGAAAACAGTGGCCTTCGTGTTTGGACCCTCTCTCTAAGCTTTGCAAGCCTAGTAACACAAGCCTCCACCACTGCAGACATCTTCACAGCTAGACTACTATTAAAAAACCTTATGCTTCTTCTTCTCTCTTTGTTGAATGAAAAGAGAGAGGATCTAGGTGGGTTTATATAGAGCACCAGAAGTCAAATTAGGCTGCTGCAGTTTTCAGAAAACCAGAGTGGCGTTGGTGGGTTATGAGTTGTCTGGGAACCAAAAAAATCAGTGTGTGGTGACCCCCAGATACGGTTAAACTTAGAAGAGAGGATATAATTCTGGATATTCCCAAATACTAGCTGTCATAACTGACCAGGTGAATGTTCTAATATGCAGCTCCAAATGGAACAAAAATGACAAAAGCTTCACGTGGCCATTGGCCCCATAACTAAACACCAAAATTAAGTTGTGTCTTGAAGCTCAAAGCTGGGACCATGATTTCAACTGAAATGTGAATACCATATTCTGATTTTTGATTGGCTTACAAGGTGAGGTGAACTTAAATCACTCAAACGTAGACTCTTATTAATACCACAAGACCAATATTTACATTACTTGAAAACCGAACAAGAGAAACAAAAGGAACAAGCTAGTTATACGTTCTTCTTCAAGGGCTAAACCATTGAACAAGCATGGAAACAGAACCCTCCGAGAATTTAACCGCCGGTGATTTCAGTCCGATGACTCGGCTAATAAAAGTTCCAGCACCTGATGACCCACTTGAGTTCCTCTCTTGTGGTCCACCTTCATCTGCCTGGCTAGACTCAACGGTGACATGGCTCGAACCGCTAGGGAAAAGAGTCTGACCCTTCTCACGCAACTTGGCAAGCTCAGAAGTCCACATATCTATGATCCCGGACATGGCTGAAAGATAAATATGTTTATGAGATGGTAGTAATTGATTTGAGGCTTTTGGGGTTGATATTTTGTGATGAGAAGTAAGTGAAGTCTTTATATAAGTGGGGTTTATGAGCGGTTTTGAATTTGATGGTTTCATAGTGGACGCGGCGCCCACCTTCTTGAATGCGGTGCAGGCTATGGTATGATCAGTACGTGTGTGCTTTTTGATAGGTACAAAGAGGGGTTATTTTAAAGCTCACCCTTACAAATCTCTATTGTATTTTTTTAGAACAGCTGCTGGTATTATTTAGTAGTTCTTATTTCCAACAGCGAAAACAGGTTTCTGATAAGATAAAGACTGGGTTCGTTAAACAAAATACTAAAAGAAAAACAATACAAAATTGAGGAATCCTTTTGTTTAGTTAGGAGCGAGTTGTATATCACCATCATGATAATAAAAAATTTATGAAAAATTATCTGTAAAATGTCTTTTTATAGAATTGGTATAATTAGAAACAAGTTTTACATTAAATTATAATTAATCTTATAAAAATTTATTTTTAATGAAAAATTATGTGGTGAAAGGTGTTTTTCAATCTGAACAGTGGAAATCATATCAATTCACATATGAACGGACTATTTTACCATAAATCAATGTATTTGAAATGAAGAGAAAAAGATAGCCAAATGATATTTTTATATATGAACAAGCTTGATTTTCATGTTTATCCTACTTTTATAAGTATAATGTCACGCCCCAACCCCAAGGTCAATACATAACAAACGCCATACATCTATTAGGATGATCTCATAAATGTGTAAGGCTACCTCAACTAAACAACTTTTAATATACAAATGCAATAAAGTTAAATTCTATAAAAAAAACTCCATCTTTGTTAACATGTGTGAGTGGTTAGTCAAATCCAAAACACATGATTCTCACTTCATAAAATCCAACATAAAATCTCATAGCAATAAGTCATAGCAAATAGGTCTTCATTTTTAAATATTACGAAATCCAGAAATAACTTAAACTAAACCAAGGAACTACTCTAGGACCGTTGCGCCTCTCACTCTCAAATGCAACCCCAAATGCTCACTCTTCTGTACCTGAAATGAGATGAGATTTTAAAAGCATAAGTTAGACAGTTCAATAAGAGTATACCCATTTAGTTCGACCAAGCATTATATTTCAATGAAAATAATAATTAAATAAAGTAAACAACTTTACAATAAGGAAACTACATTCCAAACTAGATGAAAAGAAAACAACAATTACAAGTTCTTTAGGTTGCATCACACTCCAAATATCACACTCCTCACCACACTCCATGATAAATAGATCTTGGGACTACTATTATTACCCCTAGTATACCCTTGAGGAACAGGTCAAGTTAACCAGCCAACCAAGAACATGAAAACCAAGTATTAAAAATCATTACCAATTTAATAAACCAAACTCTTCGATAAGAAACAATCCCCACTCAAAATGCTTGATTAATACTCATACTCATCTCATTTCATTATAAAATATTTTTATTTTTAAAACATAGTAACTAGATAAGATTATATAAGATGCATTGAAAAAGTAAAATAAATTTTAATAAAACAAACATTTTAAAAGAATACTAAAGATATAACAACATACCTTGAATAATTAATAAATTTTTCACTCGACATAGCACCCTGAATTATTTAAAACTTTTGTATTATCTTCTTTATTAGAATCAAATCTGATAGAGAATAGAGTCTCAAAAATTCCCTCAATTCCTCTTTCAATTCACATTCTTAATTATCAAATTAGATCTAAGAACAAAACTAGAACATAATTAGGAAACTTACCGTAAAATTCCCTCAATTCAAATAATCATTCAACTACACGATGAAAGCCCCTTTCTATTTGTTTTCAAAAGTGGGCAGCGGCATTTTTAGAAGTGGGCGGCGGCATTTCAGAAGTTCTACAAACCTAGCACTATTTCCTATTTAGGCTTTAGTAAAAATGTTTATAACTCTTTGGTTAGCCCTTCCACTCTTGATTCCTTTATAGTTAAACCCCTTAATTCCATCTCCTTACATTTAAATCTTTTAAGGGCTTAAATAAAATTATTTAAAAGTTATAAAATAAAATAGAATAAATATCGGGTATTACATCCTTCTCCCCTTAAAAGAAGTTTAGTCCTCTAAACTTGGCGTACCTTGAACATCAAATAGGTATGGATATCTCTCCCTAGCTTCCTCTTCCAACTCTCATGTTGCCTCTCGTTCTATATGGTTACTCCGCTAAATCTTAACATAGGGAATGGTACACCTTCTCAACACTTGCTCCTTCCTATCCACAATGCGAATTGGATGCTCCTCATAAGATAAATCCCCTCTAAGTTGAAGTGGAGAATGCTCAATTACATGGTTAGGGTCCAAAACATATTTCCTTCCCATGGAGACATGGAAAACATTATGAACTTTTGACAAATTAGGTGGCAATGCTAATCTGTATGCTACCTCTCCAACTCTCTCTAAAATCTCAAAAGGACCAATGAACCAAGGATTAAGTTTTCCTCGAATCTCAAACCTCATGACTCCTCTAGTTGGTGAAAATTTTAAGAAATCCTTTTCTCCCACTTGAAATTCTAGATCACGCCTCTGATTATTAACATAACTCTTGTGCCTACTTTGAGCTATACGAAGATGTTCTCTAATTAGTTGTATCTTCTTTACGATATGCTGAACAAGTTATGGTCTTAACATTCTTCTTTCTCCCGCATCATCCCAACATATTGGGGACCTACATTTCTTGCCATATAAAGCCTCATAAGGCACCATTTGGATACTTGCCCGATAACTATTATTGTAAGCAAACTCAACTAAGAGCAAATGTTCATCCTAAGCACCTTTCAAATCTAAAACATAAGCTCTCAACATGTCTATGAACAACTTCCGATATTTCTTTTGCATTTCCTTATCCAACTTTCACGTTGTTTCCCTTCTCATTATGGGTACCCTACTATAATTTCACAGCAATTATGTCATGCCTTCTTTATAATTTCCTCTTCAATCATCCTCCTAAAGTAAAGGCAGTCTCATGGTTTCCTAGATTTTCATGAATGACTTATCAATCAATCATAAGACCTTATGGCTACCAGGAATTAATCTTTTCATAACAGCTTAAATTAATCCCACTCCAATTCATGATCACAATTTCTAAACTTTGCTAAGTCATAAATCAACCAAAATCATTTACCATTATTCAAAGAAATAATTCATGATAATTTTAAACCTCAAACCTTAATTTCCCTAAATCTTTTTCGTTACTTCCTTTATAATCACAAGATAAATTAAGGGATCAATACAATAATCCTTCCTATTTCCTTATCATCTTACTCTACCTATCTATCTATTGACATACCAATATTGATTTGAAGAAAATCAGCAAACTTAATCAACCTATTAATGATAACCAAATTCACCATCATTGAACGAATTATTATCATAATTCTAAATAAGCACCATTTTAAATCATTTCTCCAACTAATTTCCTTTCTCGGGCACACCATTATTCTACATGTGTAGTTCTTGTAATCCCAGCTAGCAATTTATAAGTTATTGTGCAGAATAAACAAGAGTAATATAGTGCAGAAAAATAAAAAGAAAGGGAAGAGAAAATCAAGCCGTGATTTATAGTGGTTCCTCCAACCCGGAGTACGTCCACTCCCCAAGCCTCCTTGCTCGAGAGTCCAATCCACTAGAAATCTCTTGCTTACGGGTGTAAGATTAAACCGGAACAACCTCTTGCTTGCGGGTGCAAGATTAAACCGTTACAAGTGAATCTCAACTCACTCAACCCCTTCAAGGATTAACCCAATCCAAGAAGAATACAAAACCCTTGTAAGACAATATACCCAAAAGCCTCACAAGAAGAAAAGAAGAAGGAAACCCATAACAATATCAAATTATATTTTCTGCAGCAGTCGTCCTTCTTTTCTCTGATTTTTCCAGATCTGATTTTTGGTCATTTTAATAGAGATTTGGAGCCTTGCAATTAAAGTCCCTTCAAAGCCACCTCACAAAAGCTCCAATAAGGTTCCACCTTTTTCTTCTAACTTGTCTTGGAAAGTGCTAAGGCATTTAGATCCCCTAAGACCCATTAAGAGTAAACAGATAGTTGAGCTGTCAAAATTAACTTTCCAGAATTTTTGCTTCGAAGCCAGAAATATTGCTTCGAACCATTTTCGGAAAACAAAAGTCCGAGATTGATTCGAACCAAAATAAATTGGTTCGAACCCAGAACTCTGAACAAGGAGGAACATGAATTAATTCTAATCGTGGGGAAAGATTAGAAACCTTGGATTAATTTTCCTGCACACTTAACACAAAAATAGATTAAATACTTTTGAATCATGGTTTTAAAACATCATCAAAATACAAAGAGAACCTAACAGTTCTAATGTTCTTTATTGGCTAAGCTACATTTACAAGCACTTAAGAGTTTACCCAAATACGCTCATAATCTAACTTTCATATTTATCTAATCCCCTCAAAACAACTCTTTTTAGTAACTGAATATGGTAAACTATACAAGAACTTCCTGTTCAAAAAATCTGCAACCTTGTTAGCCGTACTAAAATAACAAACAATGATTATATCATAATCCTTCAAAGCTCTAATCACTATTTTTATGTCTCATATTCACGTATCATATTCACATCTATCTAACAAGAGGGACTTACTCTTAAAATTAGTAAAAAATTTTCAAATCTTCCATTGTACATGTAATTCCTCAATATTAGAAAAACAAAACCATCGTTTCGTTCTAACTCCGAATCATGTGTGATATGATTTTTTTTTCTTCCAAAAAAACTCCTATAGTGTCCAACTAAATAAACATCCATTAAACTTTCATAGCACTTTAGATTTCTTCTAATAAATCATCATTTCAATCCTTTTCAAATCCACATGATTTATATATGTATGACATCAAAATTCACCTAATATATAATCTCCATTCGTGCACACAAATGACCTTGTTCTCTTTGTTCCAAGATATTAAAATTCTTTTATTCCATAGTGCTAGAATTATAACATAGAAATTTAATAATCATCACTCAAGACCAATGCAAAATTCAATGTCTTCAATGCTAATTCCAATTTTACTATCACTTGAGGAAAGTTAAAACCCCATAATCACTCAAAAAAGAATACCCATA